TTTGAAGGATGAGTAGAAAGTAACTAAGCGTGGAGGAAAGGCGTGCTCTGGACCAAAGAACGGTATGCTTCAGTGCCCCGAAGAAGGAAGGAAGAAGGCTGCAAGTGGCTGGAGATGAAACTGGGTGAGAGGAGGTGGGCAGGCACGGCCAGGCGCCTTCCATTCAATCCTCACTTGCTTTCACAATGACCCTATAAAACAGACAGCATTCCCAACTTGACAGTGACAAAACCGTGTGCACACCTGTTCAACAGTGCCTGTTCAAAAGCTATTATTCCACCCTTTGTCCTGCCACCAGACCTCACTTCCCACACTAGAGAAATGAAATGCTAGGAATGCACTTCCCCAGCTTCTGCTGCACCTTGGATGGGCAAATGACTCAATCCTGGCCAGTGGGAGCTGAGAGGAATTCTTCTAGGGAGGATAATTCTGAGACAGAATGTTCTCCTTGATAAAGGACAGAGGCATGCAAGGAGGGACCGCATACCTCCTATCCTGTCTACAGACCTTTTCCCATAGGATATAATGGTTGGCACTGCTGCAGCCATATTGTAAGCATGAGGAAAAAGGCAAGACCATAACAAAGGAGCTGCCCATATAGTAGCAAAACACACCCTGGATGCCTTGGGGCACCTGGATCTATGAGAAGAACAAATCTCTATCATTTCAATCACTTTTAACTGCCTCTTCATAACTTGCATTCCAAAACACGTAAACTGACATAGAAGGTGATCCTCTGAGAAGTTGAATAATTTCAAAATTATACAACTATAAAAGAGGGGAAACCTGTGTTTTAAATACAGGCCTAATGATTCTAAATCATTCACTTTTTTTCGCTCTACCGTATCTCTTGGACTCTGAATTGAACAAACATTGTAAACTGTAAAACTCCAGACAGAACTGAGACATGACTAATAAAACCAATGCTAATTATAATACTGGAAAGTAAGAAGAATGTTACTTGGGGATGTGGTCTCAGCGAGGACAGGAGCCCAGCCCCCAGGTCCTTCTGTGGGAGTCTGCAAGGAAGCTCAAGTGTGGCCCAACCACAGAGGGGTCCTAGGTGTCTGGTCTTCCAATGTATCTGGACTGTCAAGAGTATATATAGCATCCAGAGAATCAGCTCTCACTAGGAAGTCTTAAAATATTTAGATTAATAAAGAATATGCTGAAATTTCTACTTTGAAAATTCTACTTCCTCCTCACAACAGAAAAAGGCCCCTGCCTTCTCCTCCAATGTGCCAAGAGATTCAAGGAGGGGATGCCCTTGATAGGATCGAGGGTGTAGTCAGCTGCAGGTATTTAACGGGGAAGGGGGGAGAGGTATTTTTCTAAAATACTAATTTAAAGAACAAATCAACATCTATTATCTCCTTCATTATGTTTTAAATTGTCCAACTATAAATCACCCTGTAGCAGGTCATTCAAGGGCAGAATTACCCAGCTTGGCTTTCCCGAAGGTTAGAAGAATGACATCTTGTGCTTTTTCTAGTTTAATTTATAACTTTGCAACAGAACCAGCATTGCAGGCCCATCCATTAGCAGGGTAGCTACACATCTGTTAAAACTCAGCACAATGACGGGCTTTACATGGCCACAGGAAACGTAACCCAATCGTTTCAAAAGTTCTACAAACTCAAGCTATTTTTTAATGTAAAATGATTTGAAAATGCAGTTCCCTAAAACATCTGCTAAGCTCTTGCTACCCTAACACATGATATTCTTTCTCCTGTTACCTGCCAACACAAATATTTGGTTGCACAAAACACCCTAAGAGGCACATGACGGTGCTCCGCTTCAAACTGACATACCAACCCGCAAAAGGCTGGCTGGGACCTGGGAACTCCAGCTAAGATGTTGTTTACCAGAACCGAAAGCTTATGTGGGGAAAAATGGAGGGGTGGGGAGTTAACTTCATGAAGGCTCTTTCAAACAGGTTAAGAAGAAAACATAACCAAACAACTAGATGTATGTGGCAGAGGCACTGTGCGGCACTTGACAAAGGAAGCGGACTTGGGAACAGATGGCGAAGGGTCTGAAGCTGAAATACCATTTGCTTGAACAAGTTGGGTAAGTTCTCTGGCTTTTAAATGCAAAATGAGGATAATCATTCTATCACTGTAGAAGGATTGTGAAGGACATGAAGGTCTGTATGAGGATACATAAAGCATCATGGTGTCCGGCCTGCGCTGCCAAGTTGCACCTTCCTTGAGAGTATACCAGGACTCTAAAGGCACCAAAGTAGCCGAAATTATCATTGAAAATACAATATGCCAGGTTTTGTGAATTAAGCCCCAAAAAGCCATATGTATGTATGAATATGTCATATGTTCTAGCATACAACATATATTTATGCATACAGCTCCAAAATATAATTTTAAAATATTTTAATTGCTTAAAAAAGAGAGAATGGTGCATAGAGACAGGAAAATAAACATATGATGCACACATGATGGACACGACTTCATTATTTAAAAGCTCCCAGAAAACTTCAGTTTCTTTGAAGGTGTTTCAAAAGTCCATCTTCTTTAAACATTAAAAATAGTCTATTTCCATTTTATCTACTATTTTTATTTTATCACAAATTGAAAGGAGGGGGTACACAACTTCTTTTCTGGGACCCCCCCAGTATTCCCAGTACTTCTGTCTTGTCCCCAGACCTCAAGAGGAAGAGTTGGCAGAGAACTGGTTTTACCAGTGGGGGTCGCTGTGCTGAGAATTAATCCCTATGAGTTTCTCATTAGTGATTATTATACTGCAGGCGGCCAAAATGGAAAAATTAATTAATTTCAAAGTGATAATGCATTTACAGCAACAATTAGAAATGTATAACTGTAAAAGGGCAACATTTAAAAGACAGATTACATTTAATAAAGTTACACAAGAACATCCAATTGTAAAATTACTGATCTGCAACAATATTCCTTAAAGAGGCACTTAAAATAGCCTGACTCCATGAAGGGTGACCTAATTACTGTAACTAAAATCACCATAGTCACAGCAAGTCACAGCAAATAAAAAAGGAACATTGATATTACAATACTGCTGTTTAATACTTAAGGGAGCAGGCTATAGTGGAGAAGCAAAGGCAGGGCTTCCAAGCACAAGGCCGGGTTGCGCTTCTTGTGTCCTTGACTTTGTATGATGGAAAATATACTCCAGCAACACTCAGATCAAAAGGAAAACACTTCCCCTGAAGTCAAATGCAGAAGAGGCGACAAAGCACACACAGAACACTAGCCACCTGGTGATGGGGACATTACGTCTCACTAAGCTTCTTCCCGAGCATCAGAAATCCAGCTTTTATGTGGGGTGGGAATGGGAATGCAACCGCATGGCTTACTTCCAAAAATATGTTTGCGTCACAGTGACAGAAGTGTACCCTTCATCCATGAAACAGAAGTCTTACTGGGATGAAGCAATGATAAGCAACATACAGAAGGACAGAACATGCGGGGACTTTTCCAATAAGCCCAGTTTATCCTACCAAAACAGCGAAAACAGCGATCCCAAGTCTACGCTCATGCTGGTCCCTACAGAGTCCTGAATGTTTATGAAACGGAAGCAATTGGCTGTGATCTTGAGAAATGAGTCCAGAGTTTCCACTCCACTTCTTTATAAATCTATTTACATGGAACTCTAATGGCTGAGAAATACCACCAAAGACCTAAGTATGTGAAGATATTATTAGAATTTTCCGAAGTATCTAAATTTAGCTACATATGTCATAGTCTTCCTAATGCATAGGCTTATCTTAAACAGTACATTTGCGACATTTAAAAGGTGCTGTTTTCCAGTCACTTGGATCAGGAACATGAAAAGCCTACTCCTCAGCGGCTTCTGCAGGGACCAGATGTACAGGTTGGAGAACCACGTTCTCTCTACCTGGGCACCTGTCCTGCCTTGCCAATTAAAGTCCTCAAATCACTACGATCAGAATCTCAATTTACAGAGTTCTTTAGTTTCATGATCCATGGATCCATTAGCAGCAATTACATTTTGGAAAATACTGTTCAGGACCAAGTGATATTCACAATAACAAGAATAACAACCGTTACAGCAGGAAGTGCTGCCCACCTACCATGCAACAGGCACTGTGCTGGGGACATTATTTAACCGTGCTTTCCAGTAGGACAGCCATTAGGCACATGTGGCTATTTAAATTTAAATTAGTTAAAATAAAATTAAATTTAAAATTTAATTCCTTATGTATAGGGTCTGGCACAAATAATGCCCCTTTTTATTACAAAATCATAAGCATGTAATTCTATAACACAGCAATATCACACTCAAGCACACCCTATGACATCTTAGGTGAAATGTTCCAATTAAAACTATAAATTTTTACACCCATATTATTACCCTACCAACCACGCTCAAGCAGGTGTTACTTCTGCCCGACCCTGTAGATTAGCCATTTTTCAAGGGCTCAATCGCCCTCCATGGCCAGTGGCTACCGTACTAAAGAACCAAACTAAAACCTGTGCTTTAGAAAAATACTACACCAAATATATTATATAAAATGGATATTCTTCATTCAAGTCACTTCTTACTAAAATACTTTCAGGGAGGACTTTTCTAGATACGGTTGTTATATGACCACCAAAAATGTAAAAACATCATAGTCACCTTCGTGAACATTTCCAAATCTAACAGCAATAGTGTGATTCATCCAAAAAGATTCACCTTTGGGGAAGTAAAGAGTAAGATGCACTTCCAGCCAAGGAAGTATACCGCGGAAGTTCACAGCCGGTAAAAGGAGAACTTAGAACATCAGATACAGATTCTCAGTGGAATCATAACAGCTGATAATTCAATAGTCACAAATCCATGTTTTTCAGCTACTAACACAAAACACAGTCTCCAAGTACTGCACTTTCTGAATAATAATAAAAAAAAAATCACATCAAAAGAAAACCAATCATCACCATCAAGACTTTTAGCCATACAAACACAATATTGAAAACCCGCATCTTTCTATCCAGCCCTCTGAGACACCTTTAGAGAAACAGATATAATCTAAAAGTGATTGAAATGTGTTCAAGGGCCCTTTCCAATGGCTTTAATAGGCTTGATGATGTGATTACCAAGACCAGACTTATCATTACAAGAGGTGAGAGGCTGCAGAAAACCAGCGCCTGGGTTTCTCTAGGACCCTTCCCACAAAGGCGCACTGAGAGCGTCTGCGGAGATGAAAGCCGCTCACTTACCATGGACTTGGTGAAAGGCCTGGCCAAGGTAAACAGCAGCGTGTACACCCACCAGTTGCGATGAAGGGAGGAGTACATCATGTTTCCAGGATGCACAGCATTCGATGTGACGCCTCGCGGGGACAGGCGGCGATGGAGCTCATTGGAGAAGAGAATGTTGCAGAGTTTGGACCGGTTGTAAGCGAGCATGGCCCAGTAATCATTTTTAGATGGAGACAGGCGGCTGAAGTCTAGTTTTCCCAAGGAATCATTAATATCAGTAAATCTAAAAAAAAAAAAAAAAGTATGACATGAAGCAGCCAATCTCTGATGTCTGATATAGCTTTTTTATTTTTATTGGAAATCTGCAAAAGTACGCAGAAACTACAGAAAATTCAATTTTGCAAACATTGAAACAAAGTTGCCTTTAAAAATAGACAATGGTGATTTAACAATATAAACCAACTGGATCCAAAGGTAGACTTAATAAAGGCCCGAACTCATAAATGGAGCAGTCTCCCCCTTCCTCCTCAACATATATTTTTCAAAACCTTCAACAGGAAGTTCAAGGATAATTAAATTAAATGAAAAAGCATCTTAAAGAGCTGCTGCTTTTGGAAGCAGAATGATATCACATTCCTAACCTTTGACAGGGTTTTCCTGGGTTATTTTAGCCAACGCTTGGGTCCTGTATATTTTTATTTGAGCATCCAAGTAAATATATAGATGAGTCTTGCTGCCTCCAAGACTCTTTTTCAGATTAAAAATTAATGATTATAAAGGGGTTACAACCTTGGTGAGGTGCCATCAATAGTCTTATACGTTTAAAAGACAAATATAAACAAAGCCAAAATGAGATCTGGCAGAGTGTAATGTTTTTAAGTACACCCGTGGCATGGATACACACAAATCAAAGTAAGCAGTTGATGTTTTATAATTGGGTCTGACGGAGTCGTTAAACACCAGCTGTTTGTTTCTTTTCTTTTCTCTTTTTTCTCTCTCCCTTCCTTCCTTTTTTCCTCCCTGTATTCCTTTCTTTTAAAAAATAACCACAAAGTAGTGTCTGTTTTTTAAAAAATGGATAATAACAAAGGAATTTTCTAGATGACGGTGTCATCTTTGGTAAGCACCTAGTTTGCTTCATTAAATTAACTCTCGGCATTTGCACCGAATAATGAGGAAGCATAGCAAGAGCAAACTAGATAACTGCTGCGGAGAACAAAAGATAAAATCAAAATCACAGAATCATCCGGTTATTCCGTAATACAAGCAGTTCAGTTGAGCTATGACCAAAAAAACCATCACCGGGGCAGATGACATGCATGTTTTAATGGAAATTAAACAGACCTTGTCTGTGAATCAGTCAGTGACACCCAATTTCCAGTATTAAATGACACTGCTGCTCTAACATCATCAACAAAGCTGATGGCCAGAAACACCATCACCGATAGGGCAATGAGACATTGAAATGAACTGTTGCTGCCTGTTTCCAAGTCCCCAAACCACAGGGAGAGCCCCGACTTCTGAGCTTAATCGTTTAAGGCAGGGGAACTTAGCGGGAAATTTAAAAATTTATGGGTGCCTTGTTCTGGTTGTCATAATGATTGCCGGCGGGGCCGAGGACCGTAGATGTCCTGCAATGCAGGCGGAGCCTTGCTCAGTGAGGATTGCTGCACTGGACATTCGTGCAGCTGGAAAGCCTGTGTACAATTATCCGAGCCGAGAGCCTAACTGCGTCTTACATATGTGCACGGTTTTAACACCCACTGAATTTCCGGGAGTGTAGTACAACAATCGTATAAATGAGGAATGAATGCACTTCCACATTTTGTGACTGGGGGTCGAGGGGGAGACCTAACTCGGTGCTCGTGGTATGGAGCCTGGAACGCCACATGCCTGTTAGCAGCCTGCGTTTGTAAGTGTCCCACTCCGGCAATTTATGCACGGGCATGCGCGTCTGATTACTCACCTTTCCTGTAGTCCTGCCCACGTGCTCACACGTTGAAACTTATCCTATTTTGCTTCACATTGATTTTTTTCCCTTATATAACAGTAAACTATCATATCCAATTTAAATATATTTATGCAGGGAAGTTATATGACTTCTAAACTGTATTTCAACATTGTAATACAGCAGAGATTTTCAAAGAGTGTGCTGCAAGACGCACTGGCGTGCCACAAAAATTTTTAAAACATGCAGTGCCTGACCGTTGAATCAGGGGCACTGACCTCTTTTCCCTTAGATTGTCAAATAAAAATATGACAACAGCCAATGCAAAAATAGCCATCTGCTGTGAATGAATCAAAATTATACCCGTTGTTTTTGTCAGATTGGTAAAAAATATATTTTTTTGGTGTGCCACAGATTTAGTAATTAGTTTATGTGTGCCATGAGATGAAAAAGGCTGAAAACCACTGTACTAAGGTGTTACCGAAGAGTCATTACAAAAGGGGAACTGCAGAGCTGAGAACCCAGTGATCCAAGATACAGGCCATGTCCTGAAAATGCTACCTACTTAAGTAGAAAAGAGCATCAGGGATTTAGACTGTATCTAAAAGATATGAAACAGATACAGCATCCTTGACTCTCACTCTTCACTCTTTCGTCATGTTTTGGTGGAAACCTTCTTGGCATATTTGTTTAGCCCAGCCCAGCTTAGGTGTCGCTTCTTTCAGGAAGCTCTCCCTAACTCACTCTTCCACTGCAGGTTGTCACATTGATTTCTTAGGTGGCAGTGGGAGAGAGACTGAAAAAACTTAAGCAGACTGAAATGCATGTTTCCATGGAAATTAAGTATCCAGTACCCAGGATCCAATCTATGGTATTATTGGTGTTCAATAACCCTGCCACCCCTCCAAGGTAAGTAACAAAGAAAACCATGCCATCTTTGTATTTTGTCTGCACATCATGCCTCTGACTTTACTACACTAGATTGCAAGGAATTTGTTCACCCAGGTCTGACGCTAGACTGTGAATTTTTAGAGGGTAGACAGTGGGCCCCTTGCATGTTGCCTAGGACAATGCTTAACACATGGTATGCACTAAATACAAAGTTAGAGAACAAATGAAGGGCCCCTTATTCCCTTATTCTCCCTTATTCCAAAAAAACTGTTTTGAGTCTTGCTCAAAAGGCAAAATGTACCATTAGGTTCAGATCCTCCGTGTTCTTCATTAGAGAGAATGAAGAATGTGGCACTTTGCATGTGGCACTTTCTAATGTTTAGAATGAGTCACCTGTTTTGGTTTTTAAGGACAATGCGGAAGCATCTCGTGATTGGGGAACACAATGAGTTGATTAAATTCCTGAAAAGAGAGGTCATTCACTAGCAGCTCTCAATCTAGAAATCTAGAAACAAGACAAAAACACACAGACACACACACACATACAGCATGATGAGAAATTACATGAAACCAAGTTGAAGGAAGGTTTCCAGGAAGCACAGCTGCTAAATATCAGGCCCACCCTATGCACACAGCACTCCCCCATAAGTGGCCCCCTGACTTCCTGCCCTGCTGACCTCCTGGGCAGCAAACCCATTTTTAAGGTCTGATTAGCTTCTACTGACAGTCCTGCAGGAAGCGGGAAGGGTAGGCAAGCCTTCTGATTGCTCTGAGCCAGGGCGGACTTCCTGAAAAAAAGGACAAAAACGAGCGTATTCTCCTCTCAGCTCAAGAGGCAGTAAAACAACTCTTCAAAGGCTGCCTACTCTATTTTCAAGCTGAAAAACTGACAAAGCCAAACAATCACGTCTTAATAGAATGATCCTCCTACTAGTACACTAACATGTTAACATTTGCTCTCTGGACATCAACATCGGTTGTTTGAGGGGACCTCTAGCTTGTATTTCTATATACGCTGCTCCTTTTTTTTTTTTTAACTGAGGATTTTTAAATTACCAAGCTAAAGTAATTAGGCTGGATTCTATGTAGACAAAAGCTAGTATGTTCAAAGAATGGGACTGAATTTGCCTCAGAAGCTCTGTGTGTGTGTGTGTGTGTGTGTGTGTGTGTGTGTGTGTGTGTGTGTGTGTGTGTTGCGCTCAACACAGCTGTGGCAAGTGCGGAGTTGTTCAGCCACCACTCCGTTCTTTTCCTTCTATTTTAATTGTTATCTGAAAATTTTTCACAGCAAGGGAAGTCAAGTTCTCATTTTAGTATGATGTATTTTAGGTATGCAGAAACTCAATTCACTTGCTCAGACTCCACATAAGTAACTAAAATGCAGTGGAGACACAGGGGGGCTAATAAATATTTTGCCTTGGGGCAGTCTGGTATAATATTTTCTGCAAACATAGGACTTTATTTTTCCCCTAACAGGGGGTCTTGACTCCAAGGAAGAGATTCCGCCACGGTTTATGGAGGCAATTAGATATCAACACTTCCATTTTACACCACGGTTTAGGGCTCTGGGTGCTTGTGCAGTAAGCAAGTGCTTTCCCCAGGCTGTGCACCCAGTATTCACACTGGTTCTCGGGTTCTGTGGAGGGTGGGGGTCGGGAGCAGTTAAAGTGTAATAAACAAATCAGCTTGGGGGAATTAACGTTTTGTAAGCACACCCTTTCATATGTGCAAAGGATAATCAGAAAGCAGGAAACCAGAGTGAGCCTCGCAACACATTTCAGGAAGGCCTTGTCTGTAAACTAAAATGGATCTAATTCACGAGACCAAGGCCCTTCCTTTCAATTCATCATTTAAATGAAATTAAGATTCAGATCTCCAAGGTAGGAACGAAATACACTGCAGTTAAGGAGAGGACAAAGACGTCACATGAAATACCATTTGAGACCCAGATTTACAAAGGGAAGAGAGCAGCTGACAATTCAACATAATCTCCCATTAAATACCAGCTCATTTAAACATATCCCGTGGTGCCCTCCACATCTGGCAAGCGACTGGGGCTGGCAGGTTGATTGCCGGAGCTTGCTCTCCCGCGCCTGCCCCCGCAGAAGCCTCCCTCACTCCTTCACAGGGCCGCTCCACTTTGTTTCGCAAACCTGGTGTGATTTGCAAAGATAAGGATGTCCAGATTTTGTTACCACCTAATTACTAGATGCTTCATGTCTTTTAACACAGGGAAGGAGTATTACTGGCATTTTCCTTTCATTTCAGCCATCATAAATTTAAAATGGTAAAAGTAAATCTATCTGCTGTATGTCACTTATACCCTAAGCCCCTGTGTTTGGGAGTGATAAAGGCTTCAGACTAACCCTTGGCTGGTCTCTCTCTTCCAAGTCCCAGGGGTTACATTTTATGGAAGCATGATTTAAAAAATAAGCTTCATTCTGGGTCACTAAAACATTTCAGGACTTAAGGCAGAGAAGAAGGGGGGAAAATAGGCACTTGCACAGTATTTTTTCCAGCTACTCTGCTAAGAGTGAAAGCTCCCAACCACACCAGGAAAATCTCCCTGACATGCATTAAATCTAGCCTCACCCAGCAAGTCCTTTGTCTTTCCCGAGTACTTCTCTTTAGACAAACAGTTGTTTATCCAACTCTAGAAACAAATATGCTGAAAATACGATGAAATTTTCAAATGCCTTTTTAGTCAATTGAATATTCTCCTAATGGTAATAGAAAAGAAGTGCCATCTGATGTTTTAATTGAAATTTTAACCAAAAGAGGCATGGCCAGATTTCTAATATGTTCTAACTACAGTGCTTCCCTTCCTACAATTACACAGCTAATGTCTGCATTGAATTCCCTAATTTCTCATTATAAAACGATTGGATTTCATCTCGCAGTCTTTAATTGCATTGTTTCTCCTGCTAGAATAACTGCACATTCTTCTTGGTGAGATGTTGAAGTTGTTGAATGACAAATCAATAAAGGTCAGGCATTCAGATTTAATCAATTATTATTCCATCTCAAAGCAAAATCAATGAGGGGCTTGAAGTAGAGTTGTAAAAACAATCTGCATTGTTGTAGACAAAACCCCCAAATAATCTCCCACAATCACAAAAAAAAAACACCTCAAAAATTAAGTAAGCCACGTCGAGTGTACCCACACTTTTCAGAGCAGGGCTAAGGAAAATTATTTTCAGAAAGAGCCTTGGGAGGATATCAGCGGGTGCAAGACAGGCAAAGGGGACGAGTGAACAGAGCGTGGAACTGTAACCCACCTATGGGACTCCGAGGAGACCACGACGACTCGGGCTGGGGCTGAGCGGCATAAGACATCCTGGAGGAGCTGGACAAGGTAGAAGTGGCCCAGGTGATTCACCTGGAAGGTGGTCTCCAGGCCATCTTTTGTGAGGCTCCAGGGCAGAGCAAAAGCCGCTGCGTTGCACACGAGCACATGCAGAGACCTGAAAAATAAAACAGCCAACATTGTGCGGACACAAACACCCTGAAATCAAGGACAGCTCACGCTCCCTCAGGAAGAAGCCATCCTTCACTGTCTTCAAGGTGCCCATCACTTGGATTGGGATACCCCAGATTGTCGCACCTTAAACGATTCGGATGAGGGAGGGGTTGGACTTTGACCTGGCCCCTGTCCAGGGTTGCTGGGGAAAGAGGGCTCCTGGGATGCAGGACTTTCACTGTTAAACCAGGACCGTGCTAGGCAAACCAGGACTGGTGGGTCACCTTGGCTGAATCCTGCCCTACCACCTAACTGAATCTATGAGTCTTAATTCATCCAATTCTCAGCTTCTTCAAAATAGCCCTGAATGTAAATATAAGAAATAAAAGAAAAAAATACTATAAAAATCTGGACATAGGAACCAGCATTTAGTAGGTGCCAAATAAAGATATCAAGGTAGAAATGCTCTGTCTAAAGTGATGGGCAAATATTGTTTGAATATAGTCTTTCTAGAAGTCAGATTAAACCTACATTTTAGAAATGCCCTTTGGAAGTAGTTAAGTGGAGGCCTCATAATCTTTTCTTTTGTAGGTATTTAATTTATTTCATAACAAGATTAAATATTATTATATTAAATATTAGGTAAGTCTTTCCTGAGAATCAAAATCCTAAAGCCTCATAAAGAAATTGTACTTGTAGGAAATCATCCTAAGGTACTAAAAAGAGTTTTATAAAGAAATATATACCCAGTGTTTGTAATTACAACATAAAAACAACAACTTAAACTAAATATACAATTGGGAAATCATTAAATGAATTTAAATATATGTATATTATAGAATACTATTCAGCCATTAAAATGATAACAAATAAACAAATCTATTGACCCTGTCAAACATTCATGATAAAAAATAAAATAGGTACTGCTGTATGATCACACATATACACAATAACAGACTACACAAAAATATTAACAGTAGTCGTCTCTAGGGAGGGGTAGAACCCAATGTCTTAAATTGGTTTCTTTTTGAGTTCATTCATATATTCTTCATTTTTTTCTATAATTAACATATGGAGCCTTTAAAATAAGGAAAAATGGAATCAAATAAATGCTTTATAGAAAAAAAAGAATTTGGGAAATTAGCTAATAAATAAAACAAGAGAAAAAGAGACAGTGGGGTTTTACAGGAGGACTGGATTAAGTCCAAAGCTGCGCATTGGCCCCAGTTTCAGACAAATCGCAGGGGCCTTCGACTTCTACATCCTTCCTGTGCCCCAGGGGGCTGGAAACTGAGGGTGCCGTTTCCTCGCACGGCTCAGATTCCACACCAGGGGCTGGTAGGTAGTACTTCCTGTGTGATGTAGGAAGTAAAGTCATTTCCTATACCTTTATTTTTAGAAATTCAATGCTCTTTTCATAGAAAATTTTCATAGAAATATTACTTTTTGTAACAATCTGATTTTGTTCCATCCTCATAAGAGATGGTAGCCAAAGCCATAAGTTATTAAAAAACAAACGTTGGTACACAATAAAAGGAAGCACACGGAAAAGTCTTTCCAAAAGCTAAAGTAATCTGTTATCTAAATAAAAGTGTAAAAAGGAACAATGATAAATATGTGCATTATGAAGGACTCGTATTTTTACTATGTAAAGAGTGTTTACAAATCAATAAAAAAAGCTTCTGAGTCCTACAAAAATACGGACATTTAAAAAATTTATAAAACTAGATTACAAAATAACCAGTACAAGATGTAACATGTTGAAGTCTACTAGTAGCAAAATTTTAAATATTTTCTCCCTATTAAATTAGCAGATTTATTTATATTATGATTTTATTTTTATCTTGTATAAAGCTGGTAAGTATATTCTTGCACCTGGTATATTAAGTGCAAAATATATATCATAAGAATTAGAAAAATTGACATTATTTCACCCAGTAATCCAAGCAATGGGGTGCATAGGGGGGCAGTGCTGAGGCAGCAATTCACATCTCGAGGGAAAAATATTTTATTATTGATAATGTTCATAATTGTCATTGCATGATAATAATAAAATGCATGTCAACCTTTAGTCAGTTTTATTATTGGTTTTGAATTCTCAACAAACAAGGCTCCCCCATTTTGCCTACATGTGGGGCAGATCATACCCACAGCCCCTTCTAACCCCCCTGATATGCTTCTTCTTCTGTAGGGGTTAAAGGATGAACCCTAAACAATAGGTCCACTAGGAACCTGTGAATGCGGCCCTCTTTGGAAAGAGGTTCTTGGAAAATCTAATTAAATTCAGATCGTGAGATGTGATCATCCTAGAGTAAAGTGGAACTAATGACAAGTGCCCTAACAAAAGAAGAAAGGGCAGAAGACACCAGGAGAGGGAGCTGCGAAGGCCAAGGCAGAGACTGGAGTGTTGCACCTAAAAGCCCAGGAAGGCGGAGGCTTGCCCGCCGGCCCCAGAGGCCAGCAGAACGGCACTGACTGGATTCTCCCTCGGAGCCGCTAGTGGGAACCAACCCTGCCCACACATTGATTTTAGGCTTTCGGCCCCCAGAACTGTGCTAGGCTAAATTTCTGTTAAGTAACCGAATTTGTGGTCCATTGCTATAGCAGCTCTGGGAAACTAAAACAAATTTCCAAGATTCTCTTTCCTAAGGAAATACTCAAAATTTATATAAAAGTTTACTCATAGGGAGGAATAATAATTATAAGTGAACTAGAACTATAAAACTGAATATGAACTAGAAGCAATTGAAAATCCAACGACAAAAGAATGATGAGCAAAGCTCCCATATAACACATTGAAGGTACCTGCCAGGTGAAATCATTACTATTTCCTCTGTCTCTAGATCCTTCCCTTTTTTCCAGAAGAGAAAATAAAACTCTTCAAAGTTTTTTTGTTTGTTTGTTTGTTTGTTTGTTTTTAAAGCATTTCCCAGTCTTTAAGACAGGCCTGGGCATTTGGAATTTTGGCATCATAACCTCTTGATAACAACACCTTTATCCTTGCCTGCACAATTTTGTTGAGAAAAAGCAAACTGTACCAAAGAAGCTTCCTTACCAAAGCCCTCAGCCTGGAGGCATGAACCCATAGAGGACCTGGGTAACCCTTTCCTGTTTCACCAAATTTTAATACCTTTGATTAACATGGATTGCACCACACCAGAAGCAAAATTTGTACCCTGTACCTAAAGCTTGTCACCCCCATTAAACAAAAAACAGGCTTATGGAATATGAAACTATAAAGTGCTAGGCTTTTTTTTTAATCGTAAAGACGCTTAATTGGCTTGTACAAAAGAAAAAGAATTCCTTTAGCTTTGCTTTAATGAGGTTTTTATTATTCAAATGGCACATTTTGCTCAGTTTTGACGAAAAGCCATTGCAATTCAAAAGGCTCTGAGATGATGAATATTTACAAAATATCAAAAGGAAAGTTCAAACTGGAAAGACAGAATGGAAACAAAAATAGTATCATTCGAATTCCAAAGCTGATGCTATTAGTCAGCACTTTCAGGGACGGATTTTTTTTCTTCTTTGGTGGATTCTGGTCTCTGAGGGGTGAGCGAGGACAGGAAAGGCTGTCTTCCGTGTAAAGAATTGGAGATTCAATAACTCATTCCTCTCTGTTGAGTGGACACAGCACCTTCTCTGAGCCGCTGGGGATGACGTTTGGAAAGCAGCAATCTAATCCTGTAGAGCCAAAACCTTCCACTGGGCCCAAGCACAACTGCTTAAGAGTAAGGAGGGTGGGATTCCAACGGTTTATCAATGGGGAGTGCTGCTTGTCATCAATGGGAGTGGCCACTGGCCAACCTTTCTAGCTAGAGTAGCCTTAGGTGATACTTCACACTGAAAGAGCACTGAATGGTGATAATAAATAGAAGAGGGTCCTAGTCCAAAGGCTGTTGCCTGCTGGCTTTTAGACAGCTGATCTCTCAGCTTTCTCCCCATCCTCCTTCTTATTTCTCTCTTTAATTCAGGTATAATCAACATGTAATATACTATTCGTTTCCAATGCACAACACTTTGAGGGTCCCAACCATGGACTATCCCCTCTCTTTCTGGACTTTTCAACCTCTCTCCCCGCCACTAGTTCACTCTTGCTGTGTATCAGGCTAATCATATTTTCCTGACCATCATTTGAGAGAAAATCAGGAAAGAAAGTGAAGGAAGAAAGAGAGAAAGGAAGATAGGAGAGAGAGGTCTAGAAAAGAAAGAAAAACGTCTGTTTGACATTGGGGCTCTTTCAAGTTGCACTAGCCTCTCCTTTCCCATGTATGCTCGATCATTGTGAAATATTCATCTCCATTCAGTCTCTTTTCTCGTCCAAACTCGCTTCTCTCACCAACCCAACTGAATCCTGTCCCATCACTCCCAATTACTAAATCCAAAAACCTCCCTGCTGCTGAGACTAGATTGCTCTGTTGTAAAGGGCCCTGTTCCTCCCTGATTCTTGGCTCTCCTTTAATTCAGTCTCAAAACTCTTCCCTACAGAAATTTCATCCAGCCAGAGACTCCAAACAATGCCCTTCTAACGGTGAAGTTGTCACCCACAGCTCTGGCCCATGTACCGCTCCTAAGTTACGGAGTCTCATTGCTAATCTAAACTCTTCATCCTCTCTCCTCAAGCCTTACCCCCTTCCAGGTGTTCTTATTTCTGCAAGGGGAGATACTAACAGTCACCTGATATGAGCACTTAAGAAACATTTGCTATTACATCTTCTCCCATAGTCTCTATGACTGATCAATGCCAATATCTCTAGACCTTTCAGGGCCTCTCTAATATTTTGTCCAGTCCCTTACATTTCCAATGAAGTGGACATGATGCTCTGTCTAGTTCTGACTTACGGGTCCAGGGTACCCAGTCCCAGCTGCTGTGAGCACTGATTTCTCCAGAAAATCATCCTGGACTGATGGGCATCGGCATCTAGTAAGTCATACCCCATATCCAGGTGCTCTCCAAAAAAAGAGAATCGATTCTTTGGAATACTTCCTTCTCCAGAGCTCCCT